GGTGAAACTGGGAAACAGGTGAGAAACGAGTGCAATCATAATGAATAACTGGCAGTAAACACTCAACTCGAAAATGTCCCCAAGAGACACGGTGACAGTCAGGTCAGACAGTTCTAATTTTAAATTTAATTAGTAATTAAATTAATTACTATAACTATGGATTGAATTAATTAATTAATTATTATGATCTGGTGATCATGCATAAATTAATAATAATTGATTATTTTAATGATTCGATGTAATTACTTACCAGAATAAAGAATCCAGATCCGAAACAAATTGGAGAACAGATAATCTAGATGTCAGAATTATAAATGTTCATAAAACAACAACTATTCGCAACAAGTATATTAAGATTTACACGACAAATATCCCGTTCCAAGTTGCGTCTACGACATCGCCATGTTTGTTGGGGGAGGTTACTCTAAAATGACAGTGGTTTAGTTAAAAAGTTGAGTTGTCTTAAAATGGCTGCCGGAGTTAACAGAGAAAAGAAAGTTTAAAATTAAGGAACTAAAATTAGATTAGGACTGTGACGATGCATTCAGTTCATTAAAATGCAACTGTCTATTTGATAAGACAACCATAAGTATCGTACTGGCGCGCCGCCTTAAAGTTAAAATTGGGGAGGCAGGAGCTCAATCCCACCACTCCAAATAACTAATGTTCTAATTAAATTTGAGCAAAAAAAAGGGGGGGGGGGGTGGGAACCAGCCACATACCCAACCACGCCTTTCTCATACCCTAGGCATACAATTGGGTGTGTGAGGGGGGGGGGGGAGATCCCCCTCAGCACCAACCTCCAATTTAAAAATAATGGCGGACACCCAAACCAACGCCTTCCTCCTTACCTTACAAACTATCTGGCCAAATAATATTGGTGTGGATGTGTGTTGGGTGAAAAGGTTGGCGAAAGAGAGGGAAGAGTTCGGTCTTTGAATGCTTCCCCTACACAATAATTTTTAAAAGGGGCTAAGTTGCCCCTTTAGTCATATATAGAATTATCTTTTAATGTATGCCTGCATGCACTTTATATTATTTTAAGTTTATATTATATATATTTGCCATCAAACACAATATCATCATCTTCTTCATCGTTGGCGTCGTTGTTGTGCTGCAAGTGAATATAATTACATAGGCTTACTTGAAATAATATTATATGTATAAGAAATTAGTTGTAAAGAAAATGTATATACATACTTATATTACCTAGTCGTCCCCATGTGGGATGCAGTTTGTGGATATTTGGAAACCCCACTCTGGCTTTTGCCGAGGGCCCTAAATATAGCCAGGACATAAATATGGCTAAACGGATGAACGGGGTTTCCGGGACCTCTCCGCGGTTGATCTTCATCCGCATGGTGACAATTTTTGTTACCGGGTGTTTATCGCTTGTGTTATGTCCTGGTGGGGTGCAACTTACATACATACATATGTATGGTTACATGGGGTCTCTAAGGCATATTATAAATTAATTAGGGTAGTGGTCTTTAAGACATCTTATAAAAATAATGAGGGTAAGCCCTAAGAAAGAAAGAAAGAAAGAAAGAAAGAAAGAAAGAAAGAAAGAAAGAAAGAAAGAAAGAAAGAAAGAAAGAAAGAAAGAAAGAAAGAAAGAAAGAAAGAAAGAAAGAAAAAAGAAAGAAAAGAAAGAAAGAAAGAAAGAAAGAAAAAAAGAAAGAAAGAAAAGAAGAAAGAAAGAAAGAAAAGAAAGAAAGAAAAGAAAAGAAAGAAAGAAAGAAAGAAAGAAAGAAAGAAAGAAAGAAAGAAAGAAAGAAAGAAAGAAAGAAAGAAAGAAAGAAAGAAAGAAAGAAAGAAAGAAAGAAAGAAAGATACAGCGAAATATGCCAGGCAATAAATTGTGCAATCTATTGTTTGTGTCTTTTTTTGTTCAAAGATTCCAACTAGATGTTTTAGGGTTAAGTGAAGTTTGTGGCCAGCAGCCGATAAGAGAGTTGTTAGTAGGCTTATCATTATATACTCAGGCAGAGAAGATTGAAAAACATATGGAAAGAGTAGGTATTATAGTGACACCTACAGCTGCAAAATATCTACTAGAATAGGAACCTATCTGAAGCAGAATAACTAGAACTGGGTTTACTTCACGAAATCAGTAACCATTATTCAGTGGTATGCTTCAGCAAATGACACATGTATTGAAGATACCAACATTAGATCAAGCAGATGTTAAACTAGAGACAAAAATAAAAGATCAGTTTACTTATTAGGGTAGTAATTTTAATAGTAAAGGAAATACAAATGAAGACACCATGACACGCATTGGCAAAGCATCAGCAACTGTTAATATCTTGAACACCCGGCCCTAGCGTATTTGGCTAAACCGGACTACGCAGTGACATGGTGACGAACTCCTTGTGGTCCGGGTTCACGCCCAGGGGTAGGCAGAAAAGCCACATTCCTCCCAGATTTACGGTGTCTATCATGGAATCAAGGCCGAAAGGTTGCGATACCCATAATACCGAGCCTAAGGGTTAACAAGTCATGGCTTCTGGATATTTAAAAAAAAAAAAAAATAGGTTGAACACGATATGAAAAACTCTAAATTGTATAGTTTAAAACCAAGTTACGTATGTTCACTTCTATTGTTATTTCCTTTCAACATGTGCAGCTGAAAGTTGGAGAACGACTAAAGACATGGACAGAAAGTTAAATGCTTTCAAAAACAAATATATGAGGACAATTATGACAATAAATTGGGATGAATTCAAAGGGAGTGAGCAAATACAAGAAATGACTGGGCAACCCCATTGATTGGTCACATCCTGAGAAGAAACCGGCAGAAAATCACCAGTCGTGCATTAAAATTGGGGAAAAAAGGACGCCCAAATGAAACCCTGAGACGAACGTTGATGAGAGAGGTCAAAGTAGCTAGACCGGATTCCATTCATAATATTTAACTGATTGCACAGGGTTCAGCGAAATGGAGGAAGAGACTGTGGAATGAATGAATGAATGAATGAATGAATGAATGAATGAATGAATGAATGAATGAATGAAAGCCCAATGAGACTTAGTACATGCGATTAATCAGAAAGTAGTTTGAAGTCTGAAGTAATCATCGCCTGTGCTACAGAGCCTGTGCACTGTACTGAGCGTCTTCGGACTCACAATTGAGTTAGAAGAAGAACGGAGCACTTATGGGTTACTACCCGTGTGAACTGATGTTGGTACATTGTGCAAACTTAGAAACTTCAGTCAGAAATTAATGTTTTGCATTTTGCAAGGACGATATGTTTTAATAGGTCAGAGCTGAATGCGCGTGTTTGGGTGTTTTGTTTTACATATGTGTTAAATTCCCAGCACTTTACCTGTTGGAGTCGCTGTGGCGGAGCGGCTAGACGCTTGGCCGCGGATTGGAAGGTCGTGTGTTTGCTCCCTGGCGGAGCCGGACTTTTTTTCAAAAATGACTTGGCTCCCAGGTCGATCGAGCCTAGAGTGGGTACCGGGTGCAGTCCCGGGAAGTAAAGGCGGCTGTCATGTTGCTGACCTCCTCACCCATCTTGTGCTGATTGGTCTGTAAATTATAGGTCTAGCCTTATATGCCCTATACGCCTAAAGGCGTGGAAAAGGGTCCTTTACTTTTTTTTTCTACTTTACCTGGTATCAACTCAAGGCTCGGTCATTAAAAACAAAAGATCGGTTTCAGTTCCGTCAGGGCCTGAACCCACGACCTTCGGTTCCTCAGGCTGGCGTCTAGTCGCTACACCACGGCGGCTTGCACTAAGGGTTGATAGAATATTCTGCTCTGTGGTGTGCCCTTTTTGTGTGTTGTATAGGCACTGTCTGGGTGTGAAAGCATCTGTTGTGTTTTGCTTGTCTGTGGTATTATGTGAATCGAGCATACAACTGGTGCTTGTAGTGTGTACCACTCCAGCTGTGTTTCAGTCTATAAACAAATATGAAGTACCCTGCCATTGGGCCTATGTAGTTTAAACGAGGTGAGAAACGTTTAGCCCCACTAGAACCACACGGGATCTATTAACACCCGGTGACATAAAGTGCCACGTTGCCACTGCCGGGGTTCTTCTTCTTCAGCATTCCGAGCCCTTGGGGTTCATTGCTGCAGACATCATCCGGCTCCATTAATCTCTCTGGCTGGCCTTCTCTTTCCAGTTGGTGACACCAATTATTCGCAGGTCTAATAACCACACACACACAATTACGTCCTGTATTCAAACTGAATTGTTAATTTAAGCAAAGTGACTCACCGACACTCAACACCATCAAGACCTTATAACGATCGATCAACACCCGGTGACACAAAGTGCCACCATTCAGATGAGAATCACCCGGGTGCAAATCCCAGAATCACTGTTCAACTGTTGGGTTATATACAGAGCTCCAGATGACAGCAGGGGTGGAGCATTTAAAAAAACAAAGAATTTAAAAAAAAAAACTTTTATTTTTATGAACAATGCAGTTATAAATTCAAAAGTTACACTATCTGATGAATGATAGATATTCTCTTTGCATTGCATGCAGAACACAAATGCCTCTTCACCCTCTTTCTGTCTACCTCTTCTCTCCCTGTCTCGGTGCATGGACAACAGTAATCATAAAATAGTGGGGGGGGGGGGGGGGGGGAAACGTACAGTCGGGAGATGGAAACCAGCGTCATTGCACCGGGTAACCGCCAGTACGGACAGCTGATTTAAAAAAAAAAAACGTACGCCTGTGCCATCGTTTGCATGCAACTCTTTAGCTACAGCGACGTTCCTCAATTTTTAACGTTTTAATTCAATCTTTGGATATTTAAAATTATCAGAATACTTTTTGCATTAGATTTAAGTGCCATCATAAAGCGTGTGTGTGTGCAAAGTTTCAACTCAGCTTTACATAATACAGTGTTCCGATCAGAGACAAAGACAAACAAACCAAAGCGAATTCTGTAAATAATTTAAAAAAAAAAAAAAAAAAAAAAAAATTAATTATTTGCATAAGTGTGCATTGTTAAAAAAAACATGTTTGTTTTTCTGTTTTTATTGCTGTCTGCCACATGTAAATTGAAACATCACATCAGATAAGTGCTCATTGCATTGGGGATGAATGCCCGTATCTCCAGATGCCACAGTTATGTCCCAAAAGGGGAAGTATATAATATGGTCTTGAAGATCCATGAAAATCTCTTTCTGCAATGTAGTAAATTGCTGCGCCCAAGCATCGCCAAGTACATAGACATATGGAGGCTCTTCTGCAACGTGTGGTCCCTGAAAAAAAAAACACAAGCTATTTCAACACTGAGGTCTATAAAGTGTGTACAATATATCATTTCTTGGAAACTAAAATACTTCATTCTTTTTAATTTCATAATAGTTTTTGTCGTGACGTGAGTAGCCAACCCTATACAATGGACGAGTCGTGACTTTGACTTCCCTCGCGCTCAGCCAAATTTCAAACTTAAACCCGTCCGGAAGGGTATATAGTCCCTTATATTGATATATACCTTTATCTGGTGATATATTCATTTCTAGACCCTCTAGTTGCTTTGATAAATCTTCATTTTCAAACTTGCAACTGTAGGTTGACGATTTCTGGTAATTTATTTAGAAATTCCCGTAAACCGGTTTACTCCGTGGGCAGGAATACAGGGGACTTCTTTCTTAGAGACGCTAAGTTGGGTTTTGGAAAAACATTCTTTCGCCTGATCCCAAAGTGTCAAGACGTGTATACAGTCTATGTAGAAATTGGCGCATTCAAAGTTCCATTTCTATCTTGGAAGATTTCCTAAGCTTGGAATGATACCTCCTTAGAGATCAGGCAGACGAATCACAGTCCAGCCAACAACCACCAACCCATACCATTCTGTGCACCAAGCAGATCCAAAAGTCATGTATACTGTGCCACTACCTCAACATGGCAAGAGCTTGTTTGTGAGTTCCAGGACCAGTGGACAATGGCAGACAGCTATGTCATCAATCCAGAGAACCAGTCTTCAAGAGCTTTGTTGGGCTCGTATGCATTTATTATGTCATTACCTGTGAGACCGGCAGCGGGCATCACAGTCTCCAAGAGCTTTGGTGGGCTCCTATGCAGTTCTTGTGACCTCGTTTGTGACAGCTTGTACCAGATCAAGTCGAGGCCCAACTACTGATTGAGTCAACTACAGTCAAGTCACCATGGACTGAGGGGAACATTGACCTACGAACTGGGCTAAGTGATCTTTTATTCACATTACATGCTCTCTTCCCACAGCACCTTATCAGTCCGAGGATGAACTCATGTACTCTCATGGAACAATTTCTGGCTGCTTCAATATCTGGGTTGTGTCATTGATTCCTGAACTCCATTAACTAAACATTCTTGAGAATCTATTCCTTATTATATGTATATATTGTACTGATTACATGCATACATTTTCATGGCTGACTTGTGTGTCCCTATTTCACCATTCTAACTGTATTAACATGGAAATGGTAGTATACTATCATAACCTGGGGGCTTCCTTTTTTATAGTAGTGGGGGTATCCAGCCAAGTGTGCCTAGGAATTTTATATATTTTGTAGTGCCAAAACTTGAGTTGCCCTACTCCTGAAATAAGTTGAGCGTATATTCGCCACGGGGCTTCCCTTAGACAAATACGAGCCAACGACTCAACATAATTATTTCAGAGTGCTGTTGGTTCTTAAGGAGAAATCCTTAAATCAGGCACGTGACAGGAGAGATATGTGACAGTTTTGAGAGAAAAGTATTTGGCGGGCATAGTTCCTTGATGAAATCGCGGGGTCGACCAGCATGACTTTGGAAACATAATATGAATGTCAATGTGAATAAAGGATTTAACGAGGCGTGAAAGTTGGCAAGGGATTGAGTGGATTTTCTGCCACATTCTGGCAGAGGACCGCTTCAAAATTTAGAGATAATGTCGATGAGCGGTTTATGAGAAAAGTAAAGTGCACAATTTAGGGAAATATATTTCATGTTGCATATTTTGTTTTATTCTTTTTATGTTCGTTCAAACGAGTGATGTAACTGCGTTGTTGTATGTAATCTAGTCATCCCTTTGTGGGATGCAATTTTTCGTTATTTAAAGCCCTACTCTGGCTCTTGCCAGGGGCCGCACTATAGCCCGGCCATAAATACTGTCTAATGGCTGAAGACAGTTTCTGGCCTCTACACTGATTCGCCCACAGTTCATCCATTCATTTATGAAATTAAAACAAAAAGTCAACCACGTTCAACCTACTGACAGCAGCGTCGGTTATAACTGCGGTTTGGTTTCTAGGTGTCAAGCATGTTAGCTAAGAAATGTTAACTGTACCAAAATGCGTGGCTAGGACATGGTGAGGGTTGCTTGGGCGGGGGCTAGTGTACACGATTACCAGCACATCCGTGCTACTGAACTCTAGTGGTGATGGACGATTGTTAAGATGGTGGGGGTAAGTGTGCCCGAGTATAAGATCACCGGTGACACCGAAGTCTAGTGCTGTTAGAAGATTGTTGAGGTAGTGGCCAGGGCAGAAGTCTCGTGCTACTGAACTCTATAGAAATGAAAGATATGCTGAATGGTGTGACTGAGCTTATTGTGGCCTTGTGATATGGCAAAATTAATACAGCAGTAAAAAAAAAAAAAAAAGTAAAGATCCCTTTTGACGCCTTAGGTGCACCAGGTATATGGGAAGAGCGTCCCATATTTTTACAGACATATCGACACTGGGTGGGTTAATTTGGTCAGCATTACGCCGGCCGTCTTTACTTCCCCAGGACAGCCATTCTGGTACCCATTTTGTGCTGGGCCGACCTGCAACGCCCCATACCAGTGCTTGCCAATTATTATTCAATCAATCAATCCTTATCGCGCCCAGAGGCACATAAGGCAGAGACAAACTATCGTCAGTCAATTCGATCCTGAGCCAACCTCTCTATCTTTAGTTTTGTCCTTCTCGTAGTCTCCAGTTCAGCCTCAAAAGTTCACCTTTAAGTGCCTCTGGACCTGCATCTTCCTTGCTGTGCTTGTGGTGTCCATTGCATTGCCTGTCTCGGTCGTTTCTCTTTCTTCATTTTGAAGACCTTACTTTGTATTTTTTTTTTTCATTCGTAAATTTACATCTTCTAGGTCTGTCTTTTTATTTTTTCATTTTATTTTGTGTTGTAATCTAGAATTGCTGACTTTACCTTCCCATGCGAACTCCAACAATCTTCTGAGAAGACTTCCCTGAAAACCTCGGAGCATGCTCTCTATCTTTCTGTCTGTTTCTACGTTTCTGCTCCATTGAGGAGAACTGTCCTAACGCATGTTTTGTATTTCATGAGTATAGTTTTAGTGCTGTAGATGCTTGATTTCCAGACACTCTGAAGTCTGTTGTAAGCAGCATTTGCTTTTGCAATTCTCTGCTCGATTTCAGCTCCTACATTTTCATCCGAGGAGATATTGCTTCCCAGGTAAGTGAAACAGTTACTGTTTTCAAACCTACATTATCTATTACTATAGATCTTTCACTTTTGTGGTTTATCTACAACAGTTTTGTTTTACTGACATTGATTCTTAACCCTGTGTGTTTTGTTATTTCTATGATCCTTATAAAAGCCAAATAATATTATATATACACACACATATATATACATACACGTACACACACACGTACACACACATTCACACACACACACATACACACATACACACACAATAATAGACCCAAGAATACGAAACAGGAATAGACCTATGAATAGAAATTCAGAATAAACCCACTGCCTTCCCAACAAGCATGTTGTAAGAGTAAACTAGCTGAAGGCATCCTTAGAAGTCGCAGTACATCTGCCTAAGAAGCAAGAAGCCATAACAAACCATTAAAGAAGTGTCATGTCTGGAGACCTCGGGGTGCAAAGGGGTAGACTTTTTTGGACACCTTGTATACATATCTTTTTATATAGTTTACAGATTTCACGTTATTATGTATCAGTCCTATCTCTTCGTCCTGTTGATCAGGAACTTTAAGTATGATCTTCATCATCATCATCGTGTAGCAGGTGCTTTGCAGAACGTCGCTCTCATCCCGGTCTGCCTGAAAGAAACTCGGTCTCTCGCCAGCTCTCCCGCCTCATGTACTTTCATACTCAGGGAGTCACTTATATCCTGTGCCCATCTTCGTGTTGGTCGACCCCAGCACCTTCTTCATAGTACCATGCCTTCTGCTATCACTATTTTCCAATCCGTCGTGGCGCTTGATATGACCAACATATTTCAGCTTACGAGACAGGATGCTGTTTATTAGCCAATCTTCCTCGATGATCAGATCTTTCCAGTCAGTATTTCTCCTCTTCTTTGTCCTAGAGATGCTGAGAATCTTTCGATAGCATTTCAGCTCAAATGCTTGTGTGACCTTACGAACTCATAAGATTATCGATATATCATCCATTTTTGTTCCATTCGTCCTGATTGTTTATGTCGTAATACAACTCTCATCAACTACTAAGTACCACTGAGAGAATTTTCTCCGCCATAAAAAAACCACCCATTGACGAACCGGTTCTACCTGTGTATTTTCAGGCATTTTTTGTCTCTTCTTGCCAGGCAAATTACTTTTCTGTCCTCAAGGCTAATTTTATCATAGGACGTCCATTTCGATTTATTTGTGTCTTGGTTACCTGTTTGTGTGGTTTGGTATGCATATGTGACACTTTCTCAATATCCACTTCTGTAAGGGGGTAGTTAGGCACTCTCGTTAAGTTTTATTGTTTCACACAATTTAATTCCTTCTCGTTTTTGTGTCTTATCTTCTTCAGTTCGCCTTTCTCACCTCACCGCCTCTGTATTATCATATGTTTGTCTATACAGATTTGTACATTTTTACGTGTCCTGCAAATTAATTTCTTTACATGTTTCTGTATGTTCTCATTGCTATTAGCGTGTAATCATTTCTTATATGTCAGTGACTTATTTTATCTTTGAAAATAGTCAACCAAGAATTTTCTTTCCTGTTTATAAATGGTGCATGTAAGCAGGAAGTGGTCTATTGCCTTTTCCTGAAAGCAATCTAAGCATAAAGGTGCTGTAAATATGTTCTATATCCTTGTGTTATTGGGCCTGTTTCCATTGTTTTAATGTTGTTCTGTAACTCTCTTTATATGTTCATTTAGATTTGCTAGCTCTTGTATCTCCTTGGCATGCGAATATATGCATTCCTTTACGTCCCTGTCTATTGTAATCTTTTCTTTTTCCATTTCCCTCATTCTTCTAGTGTAAACATTCTTTACCATTCATCTAGCTTCCTTTACTCACGTTCCAAATGAGTTTTGATGGACGTTTTCATCCAAGCATTGGGGGTGGGTTGATAAAAGCTAGAGTAGACACTACATCTCTGGCGGCCATTAACTCCGAAATCCCCTACCAGCTCGGTTCAGGTCACAAAGTGAGCCTTTATCTGCAGCGCATGACAAAGACGTGTGGCTGGAGTCTTACACGCGAATCCGTAAAACCAGCACAGAGACTGCTGTTGCCCGGTATGGATACTCTCCTTATACACACCACAACTCCCCTTTACGCCAATAACCGAAATCACGATTGTTAGAATTCCACATCCCAGTATGGGTACCGGGGTCCTGTTATAGGGAAAACAAGAATAGACTGCCTACCCAAAAGCATGTCGTAAGAGTCAACTAACTGGGAGCTTCCGTCAAAGTCGGAGTCCATCTGCCTGAGAGGCAAGGAACCAGCAATCTGCATATAGACGAGTCAGATCTGTAAAACAAATGCATACGCAACACTCAGGTTCTGGAACAGAACTGCAGTCCAGAAGTGGATAAACAACCAGAATTTTCCGCCAGAGTTTACAGCTGTTGAACGCGAAGAAGAAGATAGTTCCACATCCCCGTGTGGGTTCTGAGGTCCTGTTATAGGGAAAACCAGAATAGACCCACTGCCTACACAAAAAGCATGTCGTAAGAAAGAACTCTTTGTGGTTGCTGGCATGGTTATAGTAAAGGTCTTTGGAAAGAAATGTCTTACCCTTAAAATTATAAGAACGTGTGGATTTCGATGCAACAGCCTGATGATTTCGTCACGTACTGCTCTGAGATACCTCTCGTAGGCGCTGATGTGATGGCTGGTGAAGTGAAGGAAAGGGTGGAGATTGATGACATAACGTCCTTCTGACGGAACTGTGCCTAACACTTTCCCAGGTGAGTTGAGCAGGCTGACTTTCACGAATGTTTTCCGCTATGAAAATCAATTATGTCATATTAACTCTAAGAAGAAAACGCTTTGTTGAATGTGGGAGTGACAGCAGTTCTTTATGTTTTCGTCTGCTTGTACCTCTTCCAGTTCTCAGTTTCCACATTCATAATCTAAATGCCACTACTAGTGACTCCCTTCTTTGAGTACAGGGATTTATAATTGTTTGTGTCTGGTAGTATCTGGTCTGGTAGTCATAGTTTCAGCTTCATAGCAAACGGGTGACCCCATCTTTGCTCCGCTCCCGTGCCAACGAAAAACACACAGAATGTCTATCACAGTCCCTTGTGGAAAGATTGACAGACTGCTGTCTCAGCATCTAGCATACACTCGCATTAAAGCATATGGTAGCCCTCCGAAGTGCTAACATAAACAGTCCGACATTAGAAATGCAGTTCATCATTGATGGTAGCAGAAGTCACCAACAGATCTGCAGTTGCCCATGCGATCACTTTCAATCACATACGGGCACCACCAAAATTGCGACGACAGGCATCGCGCCATTTTCTGAATCTACAATTCACACCACCACGTTGGTCACAGTCGAAAAAACATTTCAAATGAAATCCGCAGCTCACAGTGTCACGCCATGCATTAAACTCAAAAGCTGGACGACGAAACTATATCCAGTCTACAAATGGAACAAAAATGTATCGGCCACCGTCCGACAGAAGCAAAAATTTGCCTCGGCTCCAAAAACAGTGGCCCGCCTAGCGCCCATTTTGACACTGTTTGTGTGTGTGTGTGTGTGTGTGTGTGTGTGTGTTTGTTTGTTTCTGTTATAGTTTATAAAGACTTTAGTCCAAATGTTCGGTGCTATCTAAGCCACCTCCCCCACCCCACCCATTTTTCGCCACCCCCGCCATTGTATTTCCTGTTCAAAGGTTTTGTTGAGTGAATTCTTTTTTTTTTTTTTACACACGCGGTGAACAGATATAACCAGTAATATACACTATAGAAGACAGATTGAAATATCAGAAGCCTTAGTAAATGTAATATTAGGTAATGTAACTTATTATATAATATTTTATGTAATGGTCTGTCTGTCTGTCTGTCTGTAGGTAGGTAGGTAGGTAGGTGTGTGTGTGTGTGTGTGTGTGTATGTATGTGTGTGTGTATATATGTATGTAGGTAATATCGAAGGATCGAACTTGGTCTCCGAACCCCCATCTGAAATTCTATTTAGTCCTCAAAGTGTTATTCAATTTACAATATAAATAATATAATGCTAAGTACAATACACAAAAGCATCGAATGTGTGTGTTGTGTGTGTGTGTGTGTGTGTGTGTGTGCGTGCGTGTGTGTGTACGACTCACACCCCAGCCAGCCTGGAAAGGACTTGAATGAGATAAGTGTTGTATTGAAAGATTCCACAGCTTTTTTTCGCATGTCTTTGGTGCGTGGTAATACTGAGCGTGTTTACCAAATACAGTTTCCGTACACTGCACTTTGGACTTCATTCTGTTGTATGAATATCTGGAGTTGGAATCACCGTTGAAAATCATCTGGAAAAATAAATAATTGGCAAGTCTGAGTTATGAGTCGGAATATCTTCACCACACCCCGAATATGTGTATAGGTGCTCAGATTACAACCCTCCGCCCCCATCCCCATTTCGTAATCGTGAAACCAAATAAAAATGTCAAATTTTGACCTCTTTCAGCTGCCCGAAGAGCTGCTTTATTGAAGACGGCTTCTTTGCTATCTGATTTAATTAAATTCTGTGTGGCGATCATTTTCGCCTTAGGGTTTTTGATGCTGCATCATGTCTGCTCGATCAGGCTTGGCGGGCGTATTCCGGGTTTTTGGGAGTGGATTTGGCAGCCCTGAAAAGGGCTACTATTTTTGCCTGGGTTTCTTCGGCCTGCAACGGGAATGGGTGGGGTCTGATCGTGGCTGTTTTCTGCTATCAAGTCTGGCGATCGTTTGGTGAGCTGTCAGTGAAGATGGCGGCGTATTCAGTCGGCTCCCTTTAGTGGCTTTAGAATTGGCGATTCCACCCACATACACCATTTTCTCGCTTTTAAAAGCACAAAGCTTTTGCTTTTGCCGAGACTTTTCGCACATCTGACGTGCCTGTCATGCCGATCTTTGCTATATAGTGCGTCCCAAAAGTCACGTCCAGCTTCAAAAGTATGTCACCCACTGAGCCAGCGGTTCTCTACAATCCAGTCGCTATCATTTTTGTGTGTGTGGGTCATACGACTCATTCACAGGGGTCGCCTAAGACCATCAGAAAAAACATATTCTTTTAAGTTATAAAAGAAAATAATTGTTTATGGGTTGCCACAACATGAGGGAACTGTATTAAAGGATCGCGGCATCCGGAAGGTGGAAAGCCATGACACTAAGCGTTATATGTGCGTTGTCTAAATGTTTCATGCAACATGGCCATGATCATGTCCTTGTAGGAAAAGAATGAGAATGTAAAAAAAAAAATTAAAAAAAAACACACACACACACAAAACATAATGAAAAAAGAAATCAGGACCAGTTTCAAAGCATACAGTTAGGTCTACTGTTAATGGAGTGTTGCAAACATTGCAGAACATAAAACTGTATGCGTTTTAGAGATAGTCCGTGCGAGAAGCCAAAGTGCAGTTATTTTGAATAGTAAAATTAACACATTTTGTACTGTCTAAATCTTATATATACCACAAAGCAGTGGCACAAAATTATCGCTCTCGCAGTGACAGACAAAGAATATGGGAAAAGTTTATTCACAGTTTCAAACAGAGGCCTACCCGAGTTTTACCTTCTTTAGTTTAAATGCTAGGGGGTTGCGTGGTCTCAAGGCATGATATCCGCCTCGAGTGCCGGAGGTTCCGAGTTCAATCCCCGGTAAGGGTTGGGATTTTTTTCACGTGGACTTGGACTTCTGGTAATTCCCCCTGGTCTATGGGTAGTGAGATCTGACGCCTGTGTGCATTGTTGCGCACGTAAGAAATCCCTTGGCAGTTGGAAATCGAAAAGAGTAGCCTAACGGCACTACCCGATCAAAATTTGGAGTTAAAAATATACCCAAAGTATTTTTAGGATCATTGCCGGTGCTACAGAGCCTGTGCAGTGTGCTGAGTTTCTTCGGCCTCAGACTTGAGTTAGAAGAAGAACGAAGAACGTATGGGTTACTACCCGTGTGCCATGATGTTAGTCTGTTGTTCAAACCTCAAATCTAAGTTTAAACGCTATGCAACTGTTCTTGTTCATAAGAATTGATTTATCATAACACCGCCACTCTAATATATACATCAAACTAAGCTCAAAATTTCCCAGCCATATAAGACAACTGGTTTTATCAATGTTTTATTTATTCTGATCTTGATGTTGCGGGATACAGACTTTGACATAGATATGGTCAATAGTATCTCTATCTTTTAAGTCAATATTTATCAGCTATACGTTTTTCAAGAAGAAGAGGAGAAAGAAGAGGAGAAATATTGACATCTTGATAGATCTGAACATCAAGGAAGATTGGCTAATAAACAGCATCCTGTATCGAAAGCTGAAATATTTTGGTCATATCAAGCGCCACGACGGATTGGAAAAAAAATTTAGCAGAGGACATGGTACCAGGAAGGAGGGGCAGGGGCCGACCGACGCGAAGATGGGAAAAGGATATAAGTGACTCATTGAGTATGAAAGTATATGGGCGGGAGAGCTGGCGAGAGACCGAGTTTCTTTCAGGCAGGCTGTGATGAGAGCGACGTTCTGCATAGGACCAGTTACATGAGGATGATGACGTTTTTGCATCACTTTCCTTTCAATGAAATTTATCTATTTTAAATTTTATATATCGCAACACCAAGATCGGA